GTTCCGGGAAGTTTTAGAACTTAGAAAAAGCTGTAGAAATTCTGTAATAGGTGCCCAGGCATTTCCTTCTTCGCGTTCGCGCCCTCTCTCCCGCGTTCGCGATGCCTTAGATTTTCCTCCTTCGCGTTTGCGTAACTGTACTCGCGTTCGCGTAAGTCTACGGTCCCCCTTCAGCGCGTTCGCGTAAGGCCTCACACGTTCGCGTAGGCCAAACTTTGGACCCCAGAATTTTTCCTCTTCGCGTTCGCACTTCTCCACTCGCGAACGCGATGGTTGTCAATTTTTGCCCTTCGCGAATGCGACCCTACTGTCGCGAACGCGTAGGGTAATTTCACCCAGCGATTTTTAAGTCATAAAAACAGAACAGTGTCGGGTTTTATTCAAAAAATACACGAACCCTTTCTTCTCCAAAGCTTCTAGGCGATTGTTAGGGCATTTCTTCATTAAAGCTTCTTGGGTAAGTATTGCTTAACTTGTCTCCTTCATTTTCCATCATCATTTATCAAATTCTTAGGCTCAAATCATGTGATTTAGGGTAGAAATTGGGGGAAATTGGTAGAGTTAGGGCTTTTTGATTTTTCTTGATTTAGACCTCGTTTTGGGGTCGAATTTGAAAATAAATTGTATATCCGGGCTCGTGGGGGAATGGGTGATATGAAATTGGTTCGAACCTCGGGTTTTGACCAAGCGGGCCCGGGGTCGATTTTTGGAATTTTGGGAAGAAAGCTTAGAAAACTATATTTAGGCATTGGGCTTGATTTGTTTAGCTTATATTAATGTTGTAAGGTCGTTATTTCATAGATTTGATCGAGTTGGAGCTGAATTCGAGAGGGAAGGCGGTCGCTGTGGATTGATTTAGCTGTGGAAGTTGAGGTAAGTGTTTGGTTTAACCCTAGCTTGAGGGAATAGGAGTAGAGTCTTATTTGTCAATTGCTATTTGTCGAGTACGGTATATAGGCATGGTGACGAGTATCTATACACTGGTGTCGAGCATGACCGTGAGTCCTAATTTGCTAAATTATCGAATTTGTAATTGTTGCTTATGAGGGATTGGTCTCTAACACTGAGCCAGTAATAGTTGAGACTAAGTGTGGATTTAATTGTGTTAAGTAGAGATTGAATGAGTTTGGTTATAGCTGGATCTCCCTTGCCGGGATAGTTTATTATATTACATGCTCCCTTGCCGGGATAGTTATTATAACATCTTTCTCCCTTGCCGGGATTATGTTGTGTATTGTGTTGAAAGGAATGGGATCGTGTGGCACGCCGACCACGAGATATTATGAAATGGGATCGTGTGGCACGCCGACCACGAGATATTATGAAATGGGATCGTGTGGCACGCTGACCACGAGATATTATGAAATGGGATCGTGTGGCACGCCGACCACGAGATATTATGAAATGGGATCGTGTGGCACGCCGACCACGGGATATTATGAAATGGGATCGTGTGGCACGCCGACCACGAGATATTATGAAATGGGAGCGTGTGGCACGCCGACCACGAGTTATTATGAAATTGGAACGTGTGGCACGCCGACCACGTGATATTATTGTAATGGGAGCGTGTGGTACGCCTACCACGTGATGTAAGGAAATGGGATCGTGTTGCACGCCTGCAATGAGAGGAAATTGAAATAAGTGAAAGTGGGTTGTTTTCCTTTATTCTGTGTTAGAAGAAATCAGATGTAGTTTCTCTTGTTATTCCTGATATTCTGTTTTATCCGTTTCCCCATAAGCATGTTTCTCCCTCCCAGCTTAAATTGCTTACTTTCCGCTATTATTTTGTTGTACTTGTATATCTATATCTATTATATATATATATATATATATATTATATATATATATATATATTATATATATATATATATATATATATATATATATATATATATCTGCACAGGTTTAATCTGGTAGTCTCTGGTCTAGCCTCGTCACTACTTCGACGGGGTTAGGCTAGGCACTTACCAGCACATGGGGTCGGTTGTGCTGTTGCTACACTCTGTGCATCTTTGTGCACAGATCACAGTACCGGAGCAGCAGCTTTTGGACAACAGTAGTTGATTGGGAGCTGACTTCAGTCCAGGGACATTCGAGGTAGCCATGCTGACGTCCGCAGGCCCGGAGTCCCTTTCTACTTTATTCAGTTTGTTATCATTTGTTCCGAAGCAATACAGTTTCATGTTTCATTCAAACCTTGTATTTAGTATTCTCTAGACGTTCGTGAGTATTGTGACACCCAGTCTTGGGTAGAGGATTATGTTATACTTCCGCATATTTCTTTCAGTTAATTATATTTGAGACTTCCGCGTTATTATTAAATGCTTCATTGTTCCTTATATTGTCGACGTTCGCTATAAGAGGTAATTGATAATTGGCTTGCCTAGCTCCTATTAGTAGGCGCCATCACGACTTCCGAGGATGGGAAATCCGGGTCGTGACCATTAGTAGCACCAGTATCTACTATCCATTTGCAAAGTTCTAAGTTCTCACATAAGGCTACATTACCACAAAAGCACTTACCCGCCATGTTTGCATTAGTCCCTGCAGTAGAGCCTTTGTTTAGCAACTGCAACAACTGGTTATATTGTTCTTTAGTGAAGAACTGAGCTGGTTCAACATTACTGCTTGGCTGATATATGCTTGTGGTTGGTGAAGCTATCACTCCTTGTGTCCAGATCCATCTATCATGACTGCATTTGCTCTCTTCTTCTGCTTGAAATCAGATGGATAACCAATAATCTTGTAACAGTTCTCCTTCAAGTGCCCTGTCTTATTACAAAATTCACACCTCATCAATTTATAACATTCATTTCTAGTATGGCCTTTCATATGACAAAAATCTCATTCTAAGCTATAGTTTCTCCTTGGCTTAGATGTAGATTGTGCAGTAAACGACGCAGTAGGGTCATTATGCCCAGTTTGCCCATAGGTACCACCAGTAAATGATTTCCTGCTTTCTTCCTGAACTACCATAGCATAAGCCTTATCTATAGATGGCAAGCTTGGCATTAGTAGAATCTGGCTCCTTGCTTGCTCAACATTGTCATTCAATCCCATCAAAAATTGCTGCAGTCGTTGATACTCCAATTGTTCAATATACTCAGTGGCTGAAGTAGGAGGTGGCAGTATGGAATCATATTCTGCCCAAATGTCTTTTAGCTTAGTGAAATAAATTGGTACTGACGAAATCCCCTGTGTTAGGGTGAATATTTCCTTATGCAAGTAATACAATCTCGATGCATTCACTTTGTCAAAACGTTCCTTGAAAGCAGCCCACACTTTCTGTGCATTCGAAGAAAATAACACTACTGTTACCAAATCTCTGCTCACATTGCTCATGAGCCAAGAGGTCACAATCGCATTGCACCTATCCCACTGACTTCCCAGATTTGGACCAAAATCCTCCTTCCATGTTGATCCATCAACTAAACACAATTTGTTCTTTCCTAATAATGCTACTTTCATTGCACGACTCCAAAGAGAGTAATTTTTCATACCTGTCAAAATGAGTCCCACAGACATCGATCCCGGACCATCAGATGCATGCAAGTAGAGAGGGTGGTTATGATCTAACACAATCGAGCTAGGTATCGTTCCGATGCTCATATTGTCTCCATTGTTCGCATTATCAGCTGAGTTCTCAGGAGGCGCCATTGATAGACCTCAAAATTAGGGTTCAAAGCTTCTGAATTTGAGCAGATTCTCTCGAATTATCTTCAATTCTGCGAAGAAATTCCCTAGAATCACTCGATCAATGCTCTGATACCATGAAGAATTTAGCACTGTGCAGTTGAAGAGAGAAATTAAGATTGAGAACTTTCGAGAAAAACAATCAAGAGCAGTGCTATGTATTTTGATACAACTGACTTAACTAGAAAGAAGAAGAAGCTACAGTGTATTTAACTAACTAACCACCTTAGCAGGGGCGGATTTAGGGGGACGCAAGGGTGTTCACCCGAACACCCTTCGCCGAAAAATTACACTGTATATACTCCATATACCTTTGACATTTAAATATAGCAGTAAAACTGTTTCCCAGAAAAAACTTGTTCAGAAGCGGAATAAAAATTCTAAAATCAATCATCCTAACAAGCTTTGATTTTGCAGAAAATTTTGCCAAAAAAGAACATTTCCGAATAAAGTTTTGCTGAAATCTGGTCAAACACTCGGCTCCTGTACAGTTTTCCCGGCCAGTGATTCGGGTCAAATTTCCGGGCCATACGCTGCGGATCTCAAACATTTGAGGGTTATAAGAGGTCATCTTATATTCCTTATAATTTCCTTATTTTCCCTTCCTTAGTTAATTGTTACGGTTGTACAAGTTGCACTATATATTAAATTGTACAATATATAAGCACACTTTTCTACGGGTATAAAGAAAAGCGATAAAGAAATAAGTCAATGAGAAGAAATGCTATATTTTGTAGGAGTTGGAAGAAATAAATATGGAAAGACATAGATAATTTTTCTCATTCAATAAGTAAAGAGTTGAAATGTGGTCAAACCGTTAACTGATATTTCAATCTTCCAGTGTTGGACGGAAGAAAGTATATCAAATAATTTGTCAAATTATTACTTCATCCAAATAAAGTAAACTAGCCATTTTCGCCCTCACTCCCCCGCTTTACACAAACAAAGTTTATAGGAAATGGACAATGCTTTATAAAATTCTCATTCTATAGTAGAAAAAAACAAGTCAATTAATACTACAACAGTTTAACACATAGTGCCTTATTAAATGCATATACTGCCTTAAAAGACTATTATTTATTGGGAAAGAAGAACATAACCGATTTCCTTCTTTATTGATGAAAATCAAATTTTGGTAGAGCTGAAATTATAAAAAAAGAGCTCAACAAGGAAAAAATTCTTGGAGGTGAAGTGGGGACAGTTCTGCATTTTATCCACACATTTTGTTGTTGTTGTTTTACAAAGTACTGTATTTCTTCCCAGATTGTCAACTGCGAGTAGAGAAATAAGGTGTAGACGAATACTGGAAAGAATAAACGATTCATTTATGTTCCAGATAATAAAAGGCAGTAACATATATGTGGGGGAAAAAAGAGAACAAAATAACTAGCAGGAAAAATCTGCAAAATCTTTCAAAGGTTTCTACATATCAGCTGTAAAGATCTCTATACTATCCTTAAAAACCTTCTTCATAGACTCAACAGCTTCCAATTTGCCTGTCAACAAACAGCAAAATAGAGTCATTGCATCTGAGACTTTGCCTCAGCCTGAAGAAGATCTCTTTCCTGTAATTTACAAACAGCTCCTACGCTCGTGCAAGAAGCTGATACCCTGATTTATCGCAGCTAGTTGTTTCGGTTGAGAAGGTCGACAACATCAGTTGTTTGTCCTTCTGACGACCAAAGTCTAATTCCATAGTGTGCAAATTTCATCCTCTGAGGGCATTGCATTTAGATCAGGTAGAAAAAAGCCTCTATTCTGATTCTCACTAGAGTTTTCTAACCGACGTGAATCAGATGATACCATGTCATCATCATCCATTGTGTGTCTTGACAAGACTGAATCAGCACAGTGAGTTAGCAGGTTGTTGCATCGATTGGATGCTGATTCTGCAGCCATTTCATTTGAGGTTTGTAGATTCAAATCAAACTGCACAACACAAGTTGACCAAAATTTAGTGCATCTACTCGTAAAGAAGGATTAACAAATCTATAGCTGAAAATGCAGACGATGAAGTCAAAAAACGAACCTTGATTCTTTTAAAGTTGTCGCTCTTAGCTCTTTGTTCGTTGAGGGTCACATGAATCGATGCTAGTTCCTGTTAAGCCAAGTAAGAACACATATTTTAGACAAAGCAATTTCGTTTTTTTGGATAATAAAAGATGAAGAAAACGGAACCATAGAAAGCTTACCCTCTTTAAATGTACCCTCTCTTTAAGAAGTAAGTTTTCTTCCTCCTTAAGTTGAGTGAATGTCTGCTAAAAGAATGTAATAAAAAGCTTGATCAATAAGAAGTATGCAAGCAGAAAGAGTTTAACTATGACAATTGTGTTTGAATGTAATGCTTACCCTTTTCTTCTTTGATCTTTTGCTGCAGCTGCTGCTGCTAATATTACTTGTTTCATTAGTGAAAGTGCCCTGCAAAACATGTGTCATCAAACATCAATCACTCAATATATAGAAAAATGCACCCCTAAAGATAAATAGCTGTGATACTTTTTTTCCTAGTACAAAGGTAGTCCTCAGCTATTAGAGTAGAGAGTGACACAAGAGATGAGTATAACAATTTTTAGTACAAAATCAGAGGACACCACAGTAGCGGGCAGGAGAGGATAAGATTATGACTCGGTATCAAAACAAGTCTTGGATTCAATAAATGGGACCACTCACTTAAATAAGTAATGAATGTAGGCCCAGCCCAAGTAAGCCCAATGTGGATGTAGTCGATGTGATGTGGCTTACACTGTTCAACGATTCTAAAGAAAGAGAAAAAAGGAGACGAAAAAGAAAAGTAACGCAATCTCACATACAGAGAGCCAATAGAAAGAGGACACGAAGCACAGTTTCGGGGGTGCGGGTGTTTGCATATAAACAAGAGCGGCGAAAACTGTTGAGCCTAGGATACTGTGGATTCAACTTCTGACTTGCTCATCAGAGGGACATCCAACCCGACCCAGTTTCTTTCTCTCTTTTACTTTTTACCTGCCATAAACTCACCCATTTTACCCATCCTTTTCCGGCCTATGTTTTACCAGAAATTTCATTCCTAATCGGCCGGCCAAAAGACGAAAACCGGGAGAATATTAATTAAGAAGTGTAAAATGTTTATTAGAATGAGAATGAGAAAAAATTAAAGAAGTACAACAACAACCGCCCAGTAAAATTTTACTGGTAGGTCTGGGAAGGGTACACAACTTACCCCTACCTTGGAGGGGATAGAGATATTGTTTCCGGGGACACTCTCGGCTCAGAGACAAGGAAAAAAAAAAATTAAAGAAGTAAAGAAAAGAAAAAGTGAGACTTAAATTAAACGCAATATATATTAAAATTGTCAAAAATAAATAAATACATATACCTATAATAACTAGCATCGTTATCAGAAGGAAATTAGTAAAATAAAGTAAGACTGACTTAAAAAAATCATTGGATGCAATCTGCTTTTACTGAGAAGATGCTTCCTAATTTATAAGCGCCAGAACTATAATCACTCACAAACAAGTAGACCTACAATAGTCACCCCCGCAACTTTCTTGCTACACTACTTCTTTCAGATCTGGAGAAAAAGACTAGTTTGACCCCCCAAAAATGCAAAATTATGGAAAGGAAAAAAAGCCAACAGAAAAACCAAAATGAAAGAAAAAAGGGAGAGATGCTGCTTGGGTTAAGGAGGAGTTAGGAAGTAACCAAATGTCTTGGGGTCCACACACAGCTTTACACCCTTTTCAACATAAACCAACTGACTTCCACCAAATTTCCCATAGCAACTCCTTAAATATGTAAAAACTAACGCAAATTCGCGGAATCAACCAATACACGCTCCCTATATAAATTCCAAAACAGAAAAAAAAAATTGAAGGAAGACAGATTTCTTTTCCCCGGAACTCTGAGTCAACCGAAGGTTAATTCCGTCATTTCACAAGGATAAAAAATTGAAAAAAAAATCTCTTTTTTTATATAGTAATATTAGTAGTAGGACAAATAGAAAAACGTCCAAAGTTCATTTTGTTCGAGGGAAGCTACACCAGATCTGAATGGAATATCAAATCAAAAAGTTTCCCCCGAAAAAAGAAAAAAAAAAATCTCCAAAAAAAAAGTAAAAAGCAGAACCGAAGGGTAATTTGGTCATTCTAACGAAGGGAAGGAAAAAGAAAAGGAAGCGGAGAAGAGGAAAACGTGATATCTTTCTCCATCCCTTCTTGGAACTTATCCTCCTCACGTGAAACGCTGTAACTTCTCCGACTGTGAATTACCTGACCCGATAAACTCCTTCCCGGGGTCGACCCGGAAAATTAAAAACTAGAAGAAAAATAAAAATACAGCAAAAGAGACTCAATAAAAAATTTGAAAGAATAAAGAGGATAGAAAAAAGGTGAACAGCTGACACCGCGTCCGTCCGTCCATGGCGCGGCGGCGTATCGGACAGACGTTACAAAACACGAGTTTGACTCACTGAGTCTATATTTCAATTTCCCAAGTCTCCACTGAAGAAAATTAGGTTGCTGACAAGGGATAAAATGGTCATTACGGCTACACTAGAAAAACGTATCGGGAAGGAAAAAAGGATTGTTTCCTCAATGAACATAAAGTGACCTCTAAAACTCACTACGCGAAATATGAAGAAAAAACAGGAATTTCCACACCCAGCCACCTCCGTCATCTCAAGGGTAGTTCTGTCAAAGAGACGGAACTAAAACAGATCCGATGACTGGGAAGCTGATGTCAGCACCGGTGAGCTGAAAAAAGGATGACAGACGGAGGTGTAAATGGTCAAATAGAGAGCTGTGTCAGAAAATGGAGAAGGTTCAACTACATAATCGGAAACTTAATCTTCGGACGCAATTGGCAAAAGCAGAGATGCCAGCTATAAAAGGAGAGAGATCGGCGACGATTAGGAGAATGTTAGGCCGCCGATTTTTTGAGTGGTGGAAGATGAGACGAGTGAGAAAAGGGAATACAAACCTTGGATCTGAAGGCGGATGATAGATCGGAAGACGGTGGACGGCTAGACTCATCATAGCCGTCGTCACTAGGTGAACCAGCGCCGCCGCTCCAGGAAAGCGGCGTTATAGGGCTACACCTGGTAGTGGAGGTATACGCTTTCTTAACTGACATAGATGACGGCTTCGACCTCGGCTGACGGTGACCCCAACCACTCAACGGCAGTCTCAGATGCAAACCACCCTTTGCCGCCGCTGTAGTCGTCGGCTGCGGCGGCGGAGGAGTAGTACTATTACGCAACTGAGATGTAGAAGAAGAAGATGGGTGATGTTTGAGTCGGAAAAGCAGCTCCACCACCACCGAATCATCGGATAACGCAGCGGATAACCAATCGTCCTTCTTCATCTGAATGAATGCTTCTACAAAATCTGCTGCACTGTGACTGAAAACCCACCCAAAAGAGATGTGAGAATATATGNATATATATATATATATATATATATATATATATATATATATATATATATATCGGGTTTTACGTGTTATTGTGTGGATGAGTTATTAGAAGAGAGAAGATTGGGAAGAATCGAGTAGAATGCTTTCTTTTGTTTCTTATTGGGTTTTCTGTACGGGTCGGGTTATAAACTATGACTCGCTCGTATTACTTTTTTTCTTTTCTTCACTTTCTTAATATTTTCTTTTTCTAGTGTATATATATTGGTGGGGAGCATAACATAAGTCTTGTGGGACCTACAGAATACACGTGGCCATTGCACTTCCCTGTTTTCCTCCGCCTAGGGTTTCATTTCATCCTTGGGGAAGGCTACTCTATGTTGATGGTGCATGTTAAGAAGCATTTTTTTTTCCTTTCCTTAATTAAACACAATCAAAAGATTATTTTCCACTTAGGGGTCGTTTGGCAGAGTATAAGAATAATATTGAATAACATGTTTTAGTAATATATGAGTTAGTAATGTATGGGTTAGTAATACAAGTATTAGTTGTATAGAGGTTATTTTTTATCCACTATTTAGTGTGGTGTATTAAAAATTAAAATGCATTGCATAATTTTGAAGAAAATTAGTTGTTTACAAAAAATGCCCTCCATATTCTTTAGTTTTAAGGGACTTTATGGACAATTTATCTTTAATCATGCTAATACGTACATTAATAGTCTTGGTATTGCTAATACCATAGTTTTCGATGTACTATTAGTTATGCATAGGATAATACTAAATAGGTTATATAACTAATACTTGCATTAGTAATATATAGGTTAAAAAAGTGTATCAAACAAGGGATTAGTAACACCAAAAGCTAATGCATACCAGGGTCGGCTGCGATGTTATGGAATGTGAGGTTTGTGCCTTAGGCCCCCAAATTTGGGGGCCTTGGGGGCCCCATTTTAAAAAAAAATATAGGTCTATAGGTATTTAAAAATAATATTTAGTACTTTTAATATAAAAGTAGAGTTTTTAATATAAAAGAGAAAAACTTTTTTGATATATAAATAAAGTAATAACTTAACTTACTTAAAAATGGGTAGATGAATAGTTTTCCTAACGTTTCAATTTTTTACTTTTTACTCCTTCATTAGATAACGTGTACAAGTGATCACGCCCAACTCTAGTCCTAAAAAGGATAAGTGGTCGCTGCAAATATAATCCGGTCTAAAAGTCCGGAGTCGAATCCCACAGAGAACTAAGGCTTAGCTATACCTGTTTAATATCACTGAGAAGACAAGTTTGAACAATTTTCTAAATTATAAAGATTGAAATTTATATTTCTAACTAATTAACTAGCAAATACTAGACAACGGTAAAATTATCAACTAACGAGACAAAGGGTTGGAGACTAAATTAAGGAGGTCTAGAGTTATGATTTCCCCAATTGTCGGAATCCTTCTAGCTATGTTCCCTACAATTTCTCCAATGTATTCTCTACTGATCGTGAGCACTTTAGGTGTCGTAATTCTCTCTCGAGCAACTACAATAATTTACTAGACATATTCTCTCGAACTACGCTAGTTGGCTTTATCTAACCGCTCATTATGACCACGTCAAGGCTTTGTTATTTCTAACCTACCTTTTAAACCCAATGTATTGATTTATCACATACGTTAGGAGTGACGTTGTTCAACTACTAACTAAATATGTACTCTCTCTCAAGCACTACACACTAAATAGGCACAGTCAATTGATGGCCATTCAATCAACAACAACAAACACGTAGTTGAACAAGTAGAGAAATCCAACGACTCAATTATATAAAAACATAACAAGAATTTATCCTACAAAAGGTTCTATCAAAACCCTTGATAACAAATTAGTTATTCATAATAGTATGTAAAACTACAATACTAAAAATCATAACCAACAATGAAAAAGAGGAAGAGGAAGGAAAACTCGTTGAAGAATTCCCCGCCTTGCTCCTATTGTATCTCTACCTCCTTAGGTCGAATCTGTGTCAAAAATTAGTCTCCCCTCCTCAAAAATACCGTTTTTCCATGCATATATACCAAGTAGGGTCGAGCCCAAATAATTATACGTTCTTCCACGCGAAAAAGGACAATTTTTCAGGTCTGGACGGCCGCGGTCGCGGTCAACCGCGGTACGGGTGCGGTATTTGGCAAGTGTACTGCCTCAGCCCGCCTCAGGTCCGCGGTCGCGGTTTCGACCGCGTTTTTCATCATGTTCCGTTTGGAATTTGAAAAAACGTAAAACATGAAAGTTGTATCCCTTTGAGTTAGCTTTCCAACCATATATTATGGAGCCTACATGGAGTTCTGAGCAAAACGTTATGTACATTTTACTAGATAGTGCGCAATATGCCTACTCGATTCTTCGTTTTGTTGTTCCATCATCTGTTGATCCACGAATATGATCCCGGCTTAATTCCTTGGGCTTTTACTCAGACTTCGAAGCTCCAAATCACTTGATTCATTCCATACCATCTACATAGCTCGGAATCACTCATACAAAGCATAAAACACACAATTAGTGCAAGACACTAGCGATTAAAGCTCAAACTCAACTAAAGTACAGTAAATTAGAGTGTAATAAGCGACTAAAATACGTAATTATAGCCTATCATCAACAAGTTTTACTCTCTTCCTTAATTTGTCAAAGTCAATCTTTTTTATTTTCAACCTCTTCATATTTCAGAAACCCCTACATATTTTCTGTCTTTCTCTTTGATATTCTTACTTACCTTCTTTCTCCAAGATTTTATTAGTTCAAGTATTCAACAATACTTTTAAGCTTCCAATAGTTGTATACTTCTATTGCTCTATAAAATCTTATCTAAGATCAACAATTTCTCAAGAAAGATTAAGTGATGAATTGACTATATTATCAATTGAAAAGGAATTATTAGAAAAAATTAATTTTAAAGAAGATTATTAACAATTTTTATCTCAAAAAGTTAGCAAAATAGACTTCAAATAAAAACAATCTTATAACTTTTAAAAAAAAATTTAGGCCCATATATAGCTTTGGCTTTAGATCCTGTGTGTTCTTGAGCCGCCCTTGATATATACATTATTTTCTCTAATGCGTTCTACCAAACGGTACCTTCGTGTGTGTTTGAGAAGTCGTATGAGAATAGGATATGAATAAGTACTTTTGGTGTAAAAGTATTTTCTTATTGTTGTTAAGTATGCAATTTTTTAAAATTAATAGTAGGAGGAATTTCTTGAGTACATTACTGATTACACCATTGTTTGAATTCACTTAATCCGCTTTTGGCGTCTATCCAACTTAATTCTTTGATGAGCTGTCGCATAATTGAAATTAACACTACGTTATGGTGGAAGAAAAGTGTATGGGTCAAAATCAGATTAGAAAAATTCGGCACGCGGAGACACTGAGGTCGGGCAGACCGAAATCGGTCAGCCATCAATAAAGGTCGAGGTCGGACAGTGATGAAATATCTAGTTTGCTTTGGAAACCTCAAACAGAATATTTATATTCTCTCTAATTGTACTTTTTTTTTTTGGATTTTCTAGGGATACCCCTTATAAATAGGAAGGGGGCTCTCTCCCTCTCCCTCTCCCTCTCTCTAGAAAATGTGTAAACACACCTTTCTAAAGAGATTAGAGGATCTGTGATCCCATACTTTCATCAGATCCGAAAAAGGGTCTTAAGATTCTTGTATTTATCTATCATTCACTTTGATCAAATGAAAGAGGACTCGTCTCACTCAAGATTGGGTGAATCTTTTCCTTTATTTACATTTTATTGCCATTTAATGTTACTTAATGCATCTCTCTTTATGCTATTAAATCTGGCCATAATCACTGCCAGCATTCATACTCAGCTATGTTTTTCTATTCATATTATTCATCTCGGATCTAGAGTTAATTATCATTAACTAGGATTTATCCTCCATCTTCCTATTTAATTAGTTTAAACAAAAAAGGTCTCATACATTTTGTGTTCAAACAAAAAGGTTAACGCCACATGCGCTTCCAAATTCAAGGCGAAGCTACTGTAATAATTACGGATTCGGCCAAAACCAGTAACTTTATTTCAAATTTTATATATATCTTGCTAAATTTATTAAATATGCACAAATAATTAATTAAAAATTCAATAATTTAAAAGTATTAAAATTTCTAATCCATAAGTTTCATTAGTCTTGCTCTGCCTCTACTTCCAATCTGCGCTTGTTTTCATTGCCAACTTGATCGTAATTCTTACACACACATAATTTTTGTCGTGTATATAAGTGTTTATGTGTGTATATTCTGTTGACTTGTCTTGAACAATCAAATAAAATTTCATTGACCATTGCTCAAATTTACATAATTAAATGCGATCTTTAAGAGTTAAACTATATTCGCCATTTATTTGAATTTACTTAATTAAGTCTTATTTTTTTGACTGTCTTGAACAATTAATAATTATCTTTACCGGTAATCAAATTTACATAATTAAATGTAATCTCAACAGTTCGTTATTCAAATTTAATTAGCTCCCTTTGGCCATAGATTTTGGTTTCATTTTTTTAAAAAAAATAATAAAAATATTGTTTATTTATAAAATATGATTATGTTTTAGGAAAAAAAACTTCAAAAATTTTGAAGTTCCCAAAAACTTGATTAGGGCAGTTTCTGGGTGAAATTTTTTCTTCAACTCACAAAAATTCAAGTTTTTTTAAAATAAAATGCATGTCCACACAACTGCAATTTTCATAATTTATTTTTCAACACATCTTCAAAAACTTTTTTTCAAGTTTCAATCAAATATATATCCAAACGCTAGCTTAATTAAGTGTGATTTATCTCCATTACTTCGAGACAAGATAACCTGCATGTCAGTATCTTCACTTTACCGTGAATTGTATATGGTTAAATCAATTATTTCAATGAATTAAAATTAATACACCAAGATGTTGTTTGGTTGGGGATTAATGGGATTTAATCTCTACATTAAATTATGTATTGTTTTATATCATGTTTGGTTAGTTACT